GGCGGCGGGGGCGGGGAAAAGCCATTCTTCAGAAAAGAGAAGCCAGACACAAGAACAGTCCCCTCTTTTATTATCGCACATGGGAAAAGCTCTGGGCACGGCTGGTTCATTTCAGCTCCTTCACGGCCAAACCTAAAGAGAAGGGGGGAAAAAAAAAGTCTGAGTAGCTGAAGACAGGCAGATCCTACTGGTTATCGCTGCTTGTCTGGCTGTGAAACCCCACAGCAGCAGCACTGTCTTTTGGAGACAAGCTGCTGAAGTTATTTTGGTCCCAAAGGAAAGGGCGGGAGTGATTTTCTCTGCTTGTCTAGAGCCCTGATGGCCGGAGACCTCGTTCCCAGCGCTTCCAAAGCAAGAGCCGTTGCTCACATGCTGCATGGCTAGGGACAGAGAATCTATTGCAGAGTGAAGACTGGGCGCGAGTCCAAGATGTTAATGCAGGAGGAAGGCCAGCCAACCCCACTGCCCCAATGCACCTGGCACTCAGCCCCCAAACGCCACTTGGGTTGAGTGGATACATCAAGAATGGTTTTGCTGATCTCTGCAACTCCATGGCATCCCCTGAGCATCCCCTAGTAGCAAAGGGCTCTGGCAAGAGGGCGTTGCCTCCTCCCCCACTCACCATTCCCTGCAGGGCAGAGCTGGCAGGGCACCAGTGCTTGTGAGACACACACACCAGGGGCTCCTGGACACACGCCTCCTTTGGGTGTTATCTGGTCTGTATTGGGGGCCCCTCCCCAGCCTCTTGGCCCACACTGCCCCATACGTATGGCCCCAGTCACCCTTTTCATTGGAGGCCATCACCGCATGGATCCGTGTGGTCAGCCTCACTAAAGCCCCCTGCATTACAGAGTCTCTTGCTGCTCTTTACAGAGCACCATTGTCACTGTGCTAACACACGGAACAGCGATGCAGGGCTAGGCGCTTCCCTTCGGCACAGTGTAGCGTCAGAACTGCCACACTTGGGGGTTTACAGCTTGGAGCAGCAAGCACCCCAGACAAGAGCACATGCCACGTTGGCAGGGCAACCCTGTCCACAGCAGCTCTCCCTAGCAGGGGATGTTCAGGCATGAGGCCTCTCTCCAAAAGGCTATTTTTGCCCCCCCTCCCCAATCGCTTGAAGCTTCTTTCCTATATGTGGAGGTGAAGGAGGATGCAAGCTGTCAAGGGTGCCCCTAGGCCCTGTGAAACAGCACTACCCAAAACGAGGAAATCATCTTTGTTGTCCCACAGACACGGCCATGACTGACCACAAGGTGTGTGACCTGAACAGCAAAACCTACCTTGCAGTTCTCGCTAGAGATTGTTATTGGTGTGAGAAGGGCCATTTCCCCTACAAACAATGCTGTTTGGCATGTGGCAAAAATGGCAGCGAGCCACATTTTGCCCTGTCACCAGATCACATTCTCATATTGCAGACCCTCAGCTGTCACAGTATCCCACAAGTGACTGCAACAGGCTTGGACACGGTCGCCTACAACGTGCTGGGCCGACTGGCCTTACGCTGAAGGCTGTGCAGGAGCAGCAGCAGACTGCACCTCTCCACTGTGTAGCTCGTAAAGCATGTGAATTCCTAGGGAATGCTTCTCCAGTTGTAAGCCCTTGCGCGCACACTGTCATTTCTAGTCTAACGCTGTGCGTGCAGCCCTAGCCTTTGAAATAACCTGGAACAGAGGCGCTCAGCTCATGGGCCACATGCAGCCCTGGCCCTGCAGAACTCAAGGGCCACTGGCCAGCCCTGTGAGGCCTGGGGTTGCTGTGTGACTGGGCCCAGGATTGGGGCTCTCCCCTGGCCGTACATGTGGGGTCTGGGGTAGGGATGTTAAAGTGTGACCGTGTACACAGTTAACCGACGTTCCTGGGCTCATCAGTTAGCATTCCACACCGGCTTCCAGCTTCCTTCCAGGGAGCTACTTGCCCTGCGTGCAACTGCCGAAGGTTTCAGCAGTTTGGCTTCCTTCCAGGGAGCTACTTGCCCCGCGTGCAACTGCCGAAGGTTTCAGCAGTTACACCCTTACTTGATTAATTGCATTTTAACATCCTTAGCCCGGGGGTCCTGCTGCCCAGCCCCACTCTATGGAGGGGTGTCTAGTCTAGGAAGGTTACGTTTTGATTAACTGAATAGTCGATGGGATGTCCATCGACTATTCAGTTAGTCGATAAGGACTAGCCTGCTCTGCCTTGAACATTTCAAAGCTGGGGCTCTTATGCACTTTTAAGCCGGCTCTCCCTCCTCCCCCCAGCACTCTGTCCTTGTGATCACAGCAGGGGGGGGGGGGAGCAACTAGTCCAAGGGTGGCCAACCCGTGACTTGCGGGCCACATACAGCCCCCCCCCCCACCCCCTTAAAGGGCGGCTCGCGAAGTCGCCCCTAGAAACGGTCCCCAGCTCCCGGCACTCACCGGGTCAGGAGAGCCAGCTGGTGCATTGATTCAAATAGCATTGCTAAGATGGCGGCGGTTAACGGGAGCCTGTGGTGGCCTAAAAGCCTTGTCTTTTAAAGGAGCAGCGCCTTATTTTTTTTTTCTTCCCTCAACAACTCTCCTATTCTAGGCAGGAGCTCTTCCTTTTTTTCTGGTGCGGCTCTTGGTGTTTTTTCCACCACTGTTGTGGCTCTTTGTTTAATGGATTGGCCCCCCCTAGACTAGTTGATTAGTCGCTTACATCCCTATTCTAGGCAGGCGGCCCTGTGGCTCTCAACCTGCAGGCCTATTGGTCCAGAAACTAGCTTTCCAAGTCCGTGACATTCATGCACAGGCCAGTATTAGGGTTAAAGCATAAATAAAGGAGGAAGAAAGATCATCCACTCATTACCAATGGCAAACCCATTTGACCCTGAATCACATCCAGGGGCTTATCAGTGTAGCTACTGGTAAACTGGATGTTACCTGCAGCTGAGTCTCTGCTGCCAACAAGAGACGTGATGAAGGCGAGAGGCCTGAGGGGGGCACTCTAGATTTCTGATTGGATCTCTACCTTCTTCAGTCCAGTCAAGAAACCAGGCATTTAGTCTAGCAAGGGAGGGACGAATCACTGCAGCTGTCAGTTCACACACACCGTGGTCCTGTCCTTACGGATGAGGTTTCATTGGCAACTGCTCTTAGTTACCCTCTAGGCCCTGTGCCAAATCCTTAGTTCATAATTCAGCTGTCAGTTCCCCTTGGCCCATCGGCGTGGAAGAGGGACGTAGGCAAAGCTAGTTCCAAAGTTTGACAGATGCAAGAGTAACTGAAACCAGCAGGACCCAACAGGATGTAAGGCTGGACGCAAGAGTTACAGGGCGACAGATTGACACGTTAGCCTGCCTGTGTTATATTTACCACTGTGTGTTGTATTCAGCGGTAATGCACGAAACCCACAGGCCTGTATCCTGTAAGACATTAGTCTCAGCAAGTTAGCATAAGGCGTGAGGCTTGTGAACTTTGGGGGGTTTCCTTTAGGCCACTAATCTGCAATTAGTTGGAAGCTGAAAAGAGTACAAGAGAAAATTCTGACCACAAGCTCAAGTCAACCACAGAAACAACCTGGCAACGAACTGATACACAACAGCTGTGTCTAGACTGGCCAGTTTTTCCCGGAAAATCAGCCGCTTTTCCGGAAAAGCTTGCCAGCTGTCTACACTGGCCGCTTGAATTTCCGCAAAAGCACTGACTTCCTACTGCCTGAAATCAGTGCTTTTTGTGGAAATACTATGCTGTTCCCGTTGAGGCAAAAATCCCTTTTGTGCAAAAGGGCCAGTGTAAACAGCTGAGATTTGTTTTGAGCAAAAAAGCCCCGATCGCGAAAATGGCAATCGGGGCTTTTTTGTGCAAAAGCACGTCTAGATTGGTCACGGACGCTTTTCCGCAAAAAGTGCTTTTGCGGAAAAGCGCCCGTGCCAATCTAGACGCTCTTTTACAAAAATGCTTTTAACGGAAACCTTTTCCGTTAAAAGCATTTCCGGAAAATCATGCCAGTCTAGATGTAGCCAACAGGTACGTAAGACATCTAAGACGAGCCTGCTTGCACATACAGCTTTCTCCTAAGTTACTTATGGGCTGGATTTGCTTTATAGCAGGGGTGGCCAACCTGCGGCTCGCAAGCCACATGCGGCTCTTCACCCCTGAAAGTGCAGCTTGCGAAGCCGCCCCATGTGCCCCTACAAATGGCCCCCAGTGCCCCGTGCTCACCAGGTGCAGGGGAGCCGTCCGGCATGGCAAGATGGTGGCAGCCGGCAGGCGCCTGATGTGGCCAAAAAGCCTAACCTGTGGTTTTTAAAGGGGCAGCATCCCCCTTTTTTGCTCAACGACTCTGGCTAGTGGGGAGTTCTTTTTCTTTTTGCTCAACAATTTTGATGTGGCTCTTCGCGTTTTTTCCGCCGCTGTTTCGGCTCTCTTCGTTCAACGGCTTGGCCACCCCTGCTTTAGAGGTTTGCATCAGAATGTATTGTCGTTTTAATCCACGAGACCAACCGGCTGCATCCCGTATGCTGAGCTATGTCAAAGTTATTCCACGTTTGGGACCTTTCACCTAGACAGATGGTGATGAACTAACACACAAGGTCCACTTACGGTTGCAACTTGTAACAAAGGAGGTGCTGAAGTAGGCTGGCAAAGGAGGCTTCCTAAGTTCAATGGGCTTAAACTGCAGCAAGGGAGGTTTAGGTTGGACATCAGGAAAAGAAGTCCTGCCTGTCAGGGTGGTTAAACACTGGAATAAATTGCCTAGGGAGGTTGTGGAATCTCCATCACTGGAGATACTGACGAGCCAATTATGGGTTCCCAAAC